CTGTGACTGGTTATTAGCGAAATCAGTCAGATATTGTCTTTTTTTCCGTTCATTTGAAGGTACATGAATGTTATAATTGGAATTAAACTGCCCTACCTGTTCCTTGCAAATCCATCAACAAAGGAAGGATGAATGTAGAAGAGGAAATGAGCAAATAAATTGATTGTTTTCTCAAGAACAACATTTGAAACGATGAAAAAGTTTATTAGATTTCGAGTTAGACTAGTACTAATGCATTTAATTGCTATATGCCCTGTAACATCTACCCATGATTTTTATTTCCTTCCTCAGGGAGCAGACGGAGAAATTTAAATAAAGTACAGCATCTGTGCAATTTACCAACCAGCCGAACAAAACTTGTTACACGAGGGAAACATTTTTAAGGATACAGTGGACCCTCGCGAACGTCCTTCGGACAGAATTTTTAAACGGGCCATTTGAAGTGGACCCTGATAATTAATCCGATCTTTCGTCTAAGCACGTCGAACGTTCAGCACCTATCTGAAGAGAAGACGTATCCCCTTTGACATCTTGTCGTAGTGGTGGCATAAAACGATAGCAACTAAGCTATTGTGTTCCTGTCATCCTAAATATGGCTGCCAAAGCTGTTGTACAGACAACCATGACGCAAATAACATGACCACCGCATGGATGTCTCGCCTGTGCTATTTGATCTTTGATTACTTTGCACTATATGGAATCTAATAGGCTTTAGGAATCCAGTTTATAAGAGATCCTACTCTGATTAAGAATTAAGAGTTTAATGCAGACATCTTTAGAGTCTGTTTTGTTTTGTTTTGTTTTAATTAACAGTGTCAAATAACCGCCACCTCTCTGTTTCGTTTGGCTGAATTTCACAAATGGAAAGTCAAGATATAATTAAGGTGGTACTTACCTAGCGCACAACTTATTAAAAAAGGTTTCGCACACTTTGCCGGATTTAGTTGTACTCATCACACAATTCAATCATTTGGCATTATGCGGAAGGCGATTAATATCGAGAAACTAATAATAATGATAATAATGATAATACAAAGATCCCAAACTTTTGCTTTAATGATTAACAAATAGTTTAGAAAGGACATGTGTAGAGTTTGGTATCTTTTGTTATCAGAGTTCCGTAGGTTTAAAATGGAAATAAATATTTCATAGATTGGAAAGTCAGTTTCGACAGTTTCGTAGCTACAGCAGAACAAAGGGGAATAACTAGTGTCGTACTTACCCAGCACAGAACACATTAAAAGGGTTTTGAAAATTTTGCCGAATTCAGCTCCATTTATCATCTACTTCATCATGCCCAAAGTAAGCAAAGGTTGCTCTTAGGAGCTATCGCTGCACTTAAATTTGATTCACCCCCGCTTGAGAGTTTTGAGTTTGCGACGTCCTCATAAAACGCTTTGGTACGAGTTTGAATTTGATGCAAATCATGATCTGTGATTGCATATTCATGGCGTTAGTCTCCATTTTTATTTTTCTGTCAAAGACTGACCAATAGACAAAAAGCAACTTACACCAGATGCGGAGCATTGTTTTCTTAATACAATCGAAAAACCTCACGGCATTAAGACACTTTTTTGTAGTTGAAGTTTTGTAAAGAAGCAGCTCAAAAATAATTGACTTTAAAATGATTATTTCTGTTTGAGCTCTGCTAAATGAAAGTTGTCTCGAATAAACTTCTTTTTATCGACTGGTAGCTAAAGCTATTACGCCATCTGTTCGTATGCATAAAATAATGGAAATGATTATTATTTATTCATCTCGCCTATGACATGCCATACGTTTCAGTTGGTGGGTCTATTTAATTCGTACGCCTTTAACTTTGATGGACTAACTCGCTCATGTGTCAATTAACACGCATTATTATCATGCAAACCATCACTTTTGTGTCCAAATGTTCGAATTACAACATTTTAGAAGGAGCGGGAGGGTCAAAAGCTCTTTGTGCAAGACGTTCTTGGGTCATAATGATGTGCTCTGTGGGCGAGACATTCTACTCTCCCAGTATCTCTCCACGCTCATGGAATAATTGATTTTCTATTCTCGAATATTCCCGAGTTAGCTGCGATCTATTTAGTCAATCGAAGCTTGAAGCGTTTTGACCTATCGCATTTGAGTGGTGTCGAGAGAAATTTTCTTGTATAGCCCAGAAAAATTCTTATTTTTACTTCTTCCGTCTTAATCGTACGCTTCGTCATTCATGTTTGTTTATAAATGGGTTTGACGTAACCTAGACTGTTGCAAACTGTCACACACATCTACATAATCGACTCCTTCTCCTGCTTGTCGAAATTCCTCTTCAGTGTTACGTCTCCGCTGTAGTGATATTTGAAAACCAGGCCCATGGAAATATTCCATATTTCTGTCGCTGAGCTTTTTCCTTTAAATAGTCTACGCTGCATAAAAGTTCTTTAATCGTTCTTTAATAATGTATGCCGAATAGTTTATAATCTCTTGGTTTATGCCATTTCCGCCTAACATTGCCCCAATTTAATTCCAAATTAATCGTTGTATTATTGATTCACAACGATACTCCTTATTTTAGGAATGAGAAAAAAAAATGGTTAAATGTTACTGATCCACAAAAGATCCAGCCATAGGGGTTTTTTTTTTGTTCTTTCCAAATTAGTTGTTTGTTTATTTATTGAAACATTTACGTATTCATCTACTTATTCATTAAGCATCAAATTTGAATGTCAGCCACTAATACTATTAGTATAATTTGTTACAGTACAATTTAACCGACAGAAAGAGCATTATTTATCAACAAACCTAACTACTTTATTAAACAACTTGTAATATTCCTATCAATGAGCGACTCCTAAAGGAAGTAGAGTAATTATCCTTAAATAAACTTAAAGAAGCCCACTACAAACTATATCTTAGCTCAGTATTGACACAATCTCACAGTTTTCCAAAAGTTCACCTAAATTAATAATCTTCCACAGTAGCTCTCTTTCGGTACAGCGTTCTGAAAAATCAGTCACTCCCGACAACAACAAGTACTACTGCTACACGACTCAGTCCTTATGTACAAAGTATTCCAGAAAATTCTGGAAGCTTACAATATAACTATATTGGTAGTGTTATTGTAACCTTATTCGAAGGACAGTCGTCGGCATACTGAGCCATTAGAAATTTAAATTGTTAGATTGGTTTATGTCGTCGAATCTTGCCCGCATCTATCCGATTGCCGAGAGAATAACCTTATAATCATGAAGAAGTTAGGTTACGTTTACAACTAGTTGGGTGCTTAAACAAAGATGAACAGAATGACCTCTTTTAGCTGCAGATCGTAACTCAGACCGATCGCAACCGACTAATCGCTGTTAACTAAGTGTTTGTACCAAGAAATTGACGGTCTTTTCCGGTTGGCTATATCCAATTATTTAAGTTAAGTGCGATTTCGATTCAAATTTAGCAAAAGACTGCAATTCGACTGCCCATATATCCCCAACCTCACTTGGATTGACCCGTGAGCTCTTCCTTGAATAGTTGTTCTTTATAGAAGATGGAAAAATGATATTCATTTTTCTTTTGAGTCGCTCTTTGATCTGCAGATAGACAAGCAATACGGTTCTTAGTACTAGTACTCGGATATCTATCGAAATACTAAAAGTTAATAATCAGTTTGATGTTTTTTCTTACCTGAGTGTTTCGCATACAGTGTAGAGCGAAAATCAGGAAACCCTGCAGCATAAATATGATTTCAAGATCATTAATTTTTACAATATGCAAATAAATTAGTCAGATATCTATTAAGATTTCCAAGAAGGAAGAAAAATTGCATATCTTATAATGGAAAAAGAAGTCTGTCTTCTCTTGCATAGTTAACAGCTTTTTGTTTTCAAAATTCCAAAAAATATCATATGACCATTGTAACGGTGTCTCACTTGGTTAGAAAGTAACATAATAGATATTGAACGATTTTGAGAGATATCATCGAACACTGACCTGAGCAGAGTTAAGTATGGTGAAGATGTAAGCGAAAGCTTTATGTACAGGCGAGAGGAGACCGAATAGCCACGTGACACCCAGCAAGGGAATCATCACCACGCTTGCTTTGATGCCAATTCTAGGAATTAAGAAAAAATATTCCATAACTTTCGTTGACAATGGATTTCATTGTTAGATATAGTAAGGCCTGACTGATTAATGAAAGGGAAGTTTGAGGAATATAGCCTCACAGGAGGCTATATTGTTTTAGTTTTATGTTGTAAATCTTACCTTATTTGCTGAAGATGGTTTGTCTTCCCTGTTGGCTGCAACAAATTGGTCATCTCCCTATGACTCGTATGAGTATCAAGATGTTGAGCTGAAGAATACAATAGAAATAAATTGATTATCTAGATATGGTTATCGAGTAGCCAAAGCAGGAGAGGATCCTTGACAGAGACGTTACTAGTTTGGTAACAAGCTTGGGATAAAAGAGTCATTGACAGGAAATAGAACTCTCAACCGGGGTACCTAGATTATGAGCTTCGATTATCTGACAATGAGCTAAAGAAATCGCGAACTAAAGTGTCTAAACTGAATGAACTATGTCAAGTGAATCCTAGCGTTAAATTATATCAATTTACTATCTTCTATTCTTCCTGTTCCTTTCTTCCTGTTCAATGTATTTTTTTTAGTTATTCTTGCGCGAAAAAAATCTTTATATATCAATGTGAAACAGTGACAAACCATCAACAGGGGGGAAGGAATTTTTTTTCTTCATACTATGTACTAAAAGTTGGATAATTTATGAAGCTATCCGATGCTTGTAAATACACTGTATCAACAGGTTTTTCTCGCTGTTAAAGGCCATCAATAGGTTAAAATCGACAAGCATCCTCGCAAACAGCAGCTACGTCCAAAGTTTGTTGTGAGTAAATAGGAAAAGAAAAATGGTTAACATTGTGTGGGGTCATATCATAAATATTTAAATCGTTTTTTAAAGAGCAGAGAAAAAAATCTTTAGCAGCAAGTAGTCCTGGTAAACCAATCACAATCACCAACACGTATCATAAACTCACAATTTCAATGAAAGCTACAAAGGCGACGAATATCCAGATCAGGTTGTTAGTCGAGGAAAGCCAGCAACTAAACTCGAAGAAGTGAAACACAGGAAAGAAACACAAATTTTTAGCGAATGAAATGATGCCAATTTCAAAATATGTGCAAAAACAAAACAAACAATTAAATGCAACAAATTAAAAGGAGAAGAGTAAGAAGAAACCCTTGAATTTTTTTCCTTACTATTTATCACTCGTGTGTAGCTTTGTAACCCTTCTTTCCCAGCAGCGATGCCAAGTGACATGGCCACCATGATCACTGGAAGACCTACCCATAGAGAAAGGAAGGAAATCGTAAAACTTCGCTGGATGACAACATCATATTTGGTGATCCGAAAGCATGGTTACAGTCACTAGTGTATGTTGTGAATAATGGACTTACCCCATGAGATGACGTGATACATGTACATCTTGCTGTTGATGTTGTAAACTTTCACAACGAAAAGGTAGAGAAATATTCCCTCTATCAGCATCCAACAGAGAGCGGCCATCAAGAAATACTGCATCAGAGCTGCTATTGTAACACAGGCAGCCTGTGGAAAGAAAGAGTTTTCGTATACTTATGACGCTCCTTTCGACAAGATATTTACGGTGCAACGGGGAAATTCGTTCCATGGATAGAAAAAGGGGCCACTAACTTTGTTTTCTGTGGCGTTTATTCCGGCGAGGAAGATGATCTGTCCAGCTCCAAGGGACATAGAAACACTCATTCGAATTTGAGAGAGAGGTTGACCAACATCTCTGATGAAATAGTAAAAAAAAAGTAGTAATAATAGTAAAAATAAAAATAGTGAATTAGAGAAAAGCAACAACAACAATAACAACAACACACTAAAGACACTAAGCACAAAAAAGAAGAGAATTGAATTAATTATATGGTACAGTAAAATATGGCCAAAGAAATCAAGTAAAATTCTGACAGCAAATGAAAGAAAAAAACTCAGTAAATAGCTCCAGAAAGTACAAAAAAAGAAAGTATCACGGGGGAAATGACTAAACCATAAGCAATTCATAAACAATGAAACTATGAGTTGTTCAAGCGTTCTTTATGGGGCATGGAATGTAATTTGAATTTTTGAGTTACCCGACATGCGTGTTTTTATTGGCATGGAGATTTGCACTGAGATCTCTTTTCTCTCTAGCATAGTTGAGGGAATCAATCTACCCACTGATATTCAGGTACATTACTTACGTGAGGCAAGAATAAAGTATTAATGTTAAAAGGATCCCGACGATGGAAAGGCTTAGTCCGACGTGGGTGATAATTTTCAGAGCTGTTTCGTCCTCTTCGGCGAGCTGTGTCAAAAAGAAAAAATTCAAATTAGAACATTGAGTTAGTTAAATGTTAGTTAAATTATTTTGGCTTTTGATTACCTTTGTGTTACCGTCGTAGTTCATTAAGACGACAAAATGCGTCAAATGATTGCAGCTGCAAACTGTTTCTTCTGAGTTGCTTTTTAATGAAACTACATGGCATCCTTCCTCTGAAAAGCCTTCTGACCTAAAAAAAAAAGTAAAGTTAACAAAGCGCACAAAATAAAACACTGTTTGGGGAAGACGTGATGTTCGGTAATTTTACGTTATAGTTGTAGTGTCTTAGTTGGGAGAACATTTTAGTCGGACTTTACGAAAAAAGACAACATCTTAGCTTCCAGGAAATTGTTAACCTGAACAATGAATAAATACTATACAATAATATATTGCAGTTTTTTACCTTGTGTTAAAGCCACTCCAAAACATACAGCGCTTCTCTGCTGTCGAAACCTGAAAATAGATTTTATCATGTCAAAATAAATCAAAACATTGCATAACAACTTATTTTAATTTTACCTTCAGATTTTCGAACTTTAGGATGACATTTACTCGCAACTTGTTTGGCTTGGGGTCCATAGCTATGGCCATTATCTTGGAGTTGATATAACTATGAAGGAAATTTATTTAAAAATAAATCAGAGCCAAAGAAGTAACATCGTGTACCTTTGACAGATTGAAGCGAATTTTTCATGAAGGTGGAATGGTCTGAGACAGGCAGGGAAACTTCCAACTCCAGTTAAGGTTTTGGAAAGTGTCTAAGTTCAGGTTAGTTGAACGTAGATCTTATGTGTTTCCGTGTTACGTATTTCCATGGAAAGCGACATACAAAAATAGGAAAATAGCATCACCTTTTGTTGTCTGTTTCACTCCTGATAGCTTGATCTGTCAGAAGTAGGTCATGCAGATCCTTGTACACGAACGCAACTACCAATGATCCTTAAACAACAAAAAAAGGAATCAAACAGCAAAAAGCACGCAATATTTAAATTTTCTTTAGGCTCTGAGGATGTGACATCAGAAGGAAGGCGGATGATTAAAGAAAATAGACTATGTAAACTAATGAAGCTCATTCTTAAGGTTTTATCTCGATATAGAAAATTCCACTGGAGAAATTAAGGCAACTGAGAGCTGTATAGGTAACACCTTAGTTAATACGAACCATTTTCCTCAAAGTTTGAAGAGGCAATATTGATTTTCGTATGCCATTGTTGTACCTCAAAGCTGAAGTCACTCGCATTCAAGCGATAGGCTTTTTGAATTACCAAAACTGTCGGAAAAACAATACTTATAGACAACATACTTTTTGCGGTATAGTTTATAATCATATTGGATGGACGTGTATTGTTTGTATTGTATTTACCCTTTCATGACTCTCCAACGAATACAACCATTTTAAAAACGCTTTTTTAAAGGAAAACTGAATAAAAATGTGAGTAGTTCTACACGGACTAAAATTGTGAAAAATCATTTCTGAAATGTCGTTCCCCGTTTCAGCAGAGAAAATTAGCGTTCATTAGGGAGTTTTTACGAGTGTACTTAAAAAGCAGGGATTTATATACATCGCAGACGATATGCCAATTTTGAGCTCAGTGCATAGTATGAAGTAAAGGGAAATATTTGCAAGATTTGATTATTCCAGTAGTAATTTCTGCTCACAAATATACTTTATTATTAAGGATAAATCGCAAAAACAGAGCGAGAAGAAGGGTTTTAAAACTTTGAAGGATTCCTTTTTTCTCTTCTTGATTGTTCAAGAATACCTCTAATTTTCCTCTCCACTGCAAAAAATTAAAGCGTCAAAGAAATTTAAAAAAACAAATGAGTCGATGACATACAACAACACTTCTAAAAGGTTAGGTTTACAGTGAGTTCTTACATCGTCTAGGAACTAACACAACTCAGTCCGTTGGTCAACAAGTCAGTAAGTAACAGAGGAATACACTTTAAAACTAAACAGAATTGTAGGCCGTAACCTCACCTATTTTTGAGAAAACGAACCTCTCGAAAGGTCTCATTCCGCTCAGGTGTTGCTTGCCATAATTAAGGGCAAGTTTCTCGAAGGCTTTTGCCACTTTAAAGATGGATATTCTTAGCGTTTTAACCTCTTCCATGCCAGCCTTGTCTTTTGTGACGTTCTTGATTTTTATGATGAAATCTTCAAACATAGTTACAGCCTCCTACAATTACATGAAATATTTCCAGATCTTAATTAGCCTGTCTCGTATAGACAATTCGTACTTAGAATGCAGATGGGGCCTAGCCTGAGGCCTCAACTAATGTTTAGGGTTTCAATTGCTAGAAAACTCTTTTAGGAGCCTGAATTTTTATCATGAAAATTGTATACCTCTATGGTACTCCTTCTGGTATTGATCATTTCGTCAAATTTTAAAGCATACTCATTTGCCTGGAATAAATAAATAAAAAAGTGTCCGTCAAATTTTGCAGGTCCTGAAAAGAAACATGCAGAGACATATTTGGAACACATACCAGTGCCCTTAACAACGATGACAATGATGCTGTTTGCAATGGCGAGCGAGAGGACGTTGCCGAGGGCAATTGCGATGGCGATGGCAATGGCGATGGCGATGGCGATGGCGACGGCGACGGCGACGACGACGGCGACGGCGACGGCGACGGCGACGGCGACGGCGACGGCGACGACGACGGCGACGGACGACGTGACGACGACGGCGACGGTGAATGCAATGGCAATGACGACAGCGAGGACAAGGCTGAGGGCAATGGCGATGGCCATGTCAATGTCGATGGCGACGGCGACGGCGACGGCGACGGCGATGGCAATGGTGATGGAGCTGGCGAGGGCGAGGGCGAGGGCGAGGGCGAGGGCGAGGGCGAGGGCGAGGGCGAGGGCGAGGGCGAGGGCGAGGGCGAGGGCGAGGGCGAGGGCGAGGGCGAGGGCGAGGGGAGGGAGGGCGAGGGCGAGGGCGAGGGCGAGGGGCGAGGGAGGGCGAGGGGCGAGGGCGAGGGCGAGGGCGAGGGCGAGGGCGAGGGCGAGGGCGAGGGCGAGGGCGAGGGCGAGGGCGAGGGCGAGGGCGAGGGGCGAGGGCGAGGGAGGGCGAGGGATGGAGGGCGATGGTGATGATGGGAGGGAGGGAGAGGCGATGGCGATGGCGATGGCGATGGCGATGGCGAGGGCGATGGCGATGGCGATGGCGATGGCGATGGCGATGGCGATGGCGAGGGCGATGGCGAGGGCGATGGCGAGGGCGAGGGCGAGGGCGAGGGCGATGGCGAGGGGCGATGGCGAGGGCGAGGGCGAGGGCGATGGCGAGGGGCGATGGCGAGGGCGATGGCGATGGCGATGGCGATGGCGATGGCGATGGGCGATGGCGATGGCGATGGGCGAGGGCGATGGCGATGGCGATGGCGATGGCGATGGCGATGGCGATGGCGATGGCGATGGCGATGGCGATGGCGATGGCGATGGCGATGGCGATGGCGATGGCGATGGCGATGGCGATGGCGATGGCGATGGCGATGGCGATGGCGATGGCGATGGCGATGGCGATGGCGATGGCGATGGCGATGGCGATGGCGATGGCGATGGCGATGGCGATGGCGATGGCGATGGCGATGGCGATGGCGATGGCGATGGCGATGGCGATGGCGATGGCGATGGCGATGGCGATGGCGATGGCGATGGCGATGGCGATGGCGATGGCGATGGCGATGGCGAGGGCGATGGCGATGGCGATGGCGATGGCGATGGCGATGGCGATGGCGATGGCGATGGCGATGGCGAGGGCGATGGCGAGGGCGATGGCGAGGGCGATGGCGTGGCGATGGCGAGGGGATGGCGATGGGCGATGGCGATGAGGGGGATGATGGGCGATGGCGATGGCGATGGCGATGGGCGATGGATGGCGATGGCGATGGCGATGGCGATGGCGATGGCGATGGCGATGGGTGAGGGGGGCGAGGGCGATGGCGAGGGCGATGGCGAGGGCGATGGCGAGGGCGATGGCGAGGGTGATGGCGAGGGGGATGGCGAGGGTGATGGCGATGGTGAGGGGGATGGCGAGTGTGATGGTGATGGCGATGACGAGGGCGAGGGCGATGGCATGAGCGATGGTGACAGCGATTGCAATGGCGTAGGCGATGGTAACGGAAATTGCGATGGCGACAGTGATGGTGAGGGCGACGGTGACGACGATGGTAAGGGTGATGTAGAGATTGATGAATCTTTAAAGAAAAATAAAGCTTAAGACCACATCATAAGACAGAATCGCCTTAATTTTACACTGTGATGGCAAAAATGCAGGCAGAGAGCATACCAACAAAATGGCCGCTCAGAACGATGAAATCTCTCAAATGCACTCGATGTTTTAAACAGAACACTTTTATTGTTTCCTTTGTATTATCTAAGTCGTTCGCACACGTCTTCTGTGATTGAAATTCCGATAAAGTTTTGGGATTTTTTTGGAAACTAGACGCCAAATGAGTAGAGAAAGAAATATCTTCTGAAGAGAAATATTTTAACAGCTTGTTCCGTATTCTGTTGTTTGAATTGTATTCCACCGATCAAATTCCATTATGCCTCATTAGACTTTTCTCCATCACGAGTTATTTCCTCGTAAACAACTTGCATTTTATCACTTATTCGAACCGCATTATCCAATACCAAAAAATTCACATGAAACTGAATGCTACTGATAGTGAATTATGTACGTAATTCTCCCGCGTTATGACTTTTCGTGAGAATAAAAGTCGCTTTTAGCTACTTTGGGCTTAATCCCATCGCATTTTAATTCAGGTTGCAAAGTCCAGATAGGCAACAACGAACCAAGGAGCCGTCTTTAAAATACTTTCCTCATCTCTATTTCAATATATCTTCACTTATTCGAGATCGCAATCTATCTTTGGCTAGGGTCTATTGGAAATACTACAGAGTTTCGTTTCGCTTTTGGTGGTAAAACGAGGATTCTTTTTTGAGGTAACTAACTGTAGACGAATAATGTTGATCTTCTTGCTGTCTTAGGAACAGTAGTAAACGTTGTCTCTTTCTCGACCGTTATTTGTGTGACGAGACCAAACAACAACGATAAGCGTGGCACCGATGCATTTTATTTTTTCTTGACGGCTCTTAGACAATAGAGACAATAGACCATAAATAGTGTGATTTCAGATAATTTAGGTTTTATTTTTCTTTCTTTTTGGGTAAAGTAATGTGATATTTTTCGCTATTTTAAAAGTTATGCTTTTTTTCCGTTATAAAACTGAAAGCGTTAGGAACACCAAGTGTCCCATCTCAACCCTCCTAACCAAAATAATAGTTCTTGCATGCTTCGTATGTCTATGTTTATCTTTTCGGTGAGCAGAATGTCAATTAAACTCCAACTCAGTTTTGACTATTTTTAAAACAAAAGAATGTATCTACGCCCCGTGGTAACATAATTATGAGAACTGAGGCAACCCTTACTAACCTCGATGCAGAATAGTGGTTGCTAGGTCGATCGAAGTGCTCGCAATATTCTATTCCTTTATTTTTTCTCATAGAGTGCCAAGCAACCTGTTTCAAAAACTCCTCTTACGTATTTTCGAAAAGTGCAGCAAGATGGAATTTCAACTGGTATGTCTGCTGGTACCAGGGAGGTTACTTAGTAGTATTCAATATTCAACTAGCAAAGCAATTGGACTGATGATTCTTTGCAATTGGAATTCACTATCAGTTTCGTAACTGGTGTTACTCGCAATAGTGATAGTAACAGAACCGTCTGTAACTTTCCTCCGCTCACAATGTTAAAAGTTATACATCTATATCGTTAAAACGTTCATTGAGATTGTTTAAAACATATTTTCATTTAAGCAAAGGTAAGTGTAAACTTGATCCTGACTTTCAGAGTATATATATATTCTGTCGTGAGTATCACAAACATTATGAAAGAATATTTTTGGTACGCTTAAGCGCTTCTAGAGCCTTTTAGTTTACTCAAAAGAACATTTAAGAAAAAAAAAAAACAACTACAAGTTAACTCACCATTGGAAATCTCACAAATATAAGCGTGCTGGTTTGTCCAAATTTCCCTATTAATACTACCAAACACGCCCCGTTTGTCATTACTGAACCTCTCGTACATGAAAGCAACGTCGTGTTCACCATTTGGCTCCCCTTGTCCCCATTTGGAAACAGTCAGCGGTCTCCCATTCACCCAGGTCCAATTACCGTCCTCTTTCATTAAACCAATACTCCATTTATTTTTACAGCTGGAAGTATTCCGCCTTTGAATCTCGTTATTGATGAAATTCCATTCTTCTTCGGTTTCAATGGAAACTAGGTCCCCTCCTTGACTCTGGCAGATATCTCTGTTCAGGTTCCAGTACCATCCATCCACCGAAATTATGTACCGAGAGTTTTTAAAAGTTATATTTGGGCATTCTACAACATGATAAAAATGAAGACAAAGATACTAATTATCACGATGACGATAAACAAAATGATAATTATAATAATGATGATAACATAATAAGATTATAATCACAATCACAATAAAGGAGAAAAATGAATGAGATAAAAAACGTGACTTATTCTTTAATTGATTCCTTTTTTCTAACATTGTTTTTTTTTAGTGTAAATTAATACAATACATCTTTCTTCGCTTCGGCGTCTGCAATCTCTGACCTGCTTTTCTGAATTGGTTGACTTCACATCAGCTAAGATTATCTATGAATTCGTGTAATTTTGGTAGTTGAGTTTTTGAATAATAAATTAGTTCCTCGCTGAGCTGAGCGCCGTTACTGTTGTTGTTGTTGTTGTTGTTGTCGTTTTAAGGCGTGGATGCGCTTTTGTCTTACGCAATCTCTAATTGACAGGTGCCAGATTGTGACAGATACTTGTTAAAATAAATTGTTTCAAAATTCTATGGAAGCCTTTTAAATCATCTTGTTCCCTACACTAAAAATATCTCGGTCAAGCCTCTCTTCAATTTGCATTACCTTTGTCTGTTTCAACTACCATTCACTCGCTCAAAATTTGTTCAGTTCATGGAGGATCTTGCCTTAATTATAACCTTAAATCATTAGGGTTGTTTTTAAAAACATTTCTTTGAGTTTAAGAGAAAAAAAAACTGTTATTCACCAGCCTAGGTCGTTCCCTTATTGGAAAAACTGGGCACTCTGTCCTAAGTGCCGGTTCTCAAGACCCTGGGCACAGTATTACCCAATACGGACCTCTCGGCTGTGAATAACATATTTATCACTGACTCGTAAAAGAAACACACACAGACACACCCACGCACGCACACACAAAAAATAAAAATTCTTCGATGTGTTATGCTCAAAACAGCATGCATACACTCACCGACCTCAGTGAACAATTCTAATTTGTGCCACGGAAAAATTCCGTTGGCTAGATTATTTCAACCGTAGCACGCTCGACAAAAGTTGAGAAATGTACAATTTCGGTCGCTCTTTTTCCAGCTGCAGGCGATGCAAAAAAGGACAGTTCTAGAGTGATCAAATTGCTTCTTGAAACATGTGTCCCGGAAATTTTTATGGGTATTATGTCAAACACTATTAGGCGCATGAAAGTTCATTTATCGCTTATACGTACAAGTTAGGTGAGCTGAGCATATTCTGTGAACAATATTTTTACTTTTAAGAATCAAGAGAAATTTTCACGACACAAGTGCAAGACTCTAATATTTCAGCACATAATATACTTTATGGTTGGAATGTGATCTTACCTACGGGCATCTCGCAAATGCAGGCATTTTCATCATTCCAAGAGATACCATTAAAGAGGCTTCCATTCTCAGATATTTCCGCGCAATTGTCGTTACCCTCTGGCTCAGAATATCGCCATTTCGAAATATTCAGATGTTGTCCACTCTCCCAAGTCCAATTCCCGTCTCTCTTCCTTAAACCAATATGCCATGCACTAGTATTCCCAGTACCACGCTTTTTAATCTCATTACTGATAAACTTCCATTCTTCTTCAGTTTCGATGGAGACTAAGTAACCTCCCTGGTACCAGCAGACATACCAGTTGAAATTCCATCTTGCTGCACTTTTCGAAAATACGTAAGAGGAGTTTTTGAAACAGGTTGCTTGGCACTCTATGAGAAAAAATAAAGGAATGAATAAATAAACGAAAAAATGTATACTGATGATAACAATTGTGATAATGATAATGATAATGATAATGATTGAGACGAGAAAGTATTTTTTTGACACTATTAATTTTAATAACAAACAATGGGCATCAAAACCCTCTACATCACTAAAGCGAAAGATTTTAAAACTGGAAATAAGGGAGATCAGGGTAATAGCACCGTTATTCTACGACTTTTTTGTTTTGCTTTTCAACTTACGTTTTGAGTCACAATCCGATGTAATCCCAACAGGAAGTCTGTAAGTCTATGGCTAATTATTATGATAATCAATCAGATATTATTTTTTTTCATCTTCAGTTCATTTAAAGGTGCATAAATGTTAAAATCGGAATTACACTGCCTCACCTGTTCCTGGAAAATCCATCAACAAATGAAAGATGACTGTAGAAGAGAAAACGAGCAAAAGAATTGATCATTATCTCAAGAATAACATTTGAGACAATGAAAGGGTTTATTAGATCTCGAGTTAGACTATTGCTAATGGAGATTATTTGCTACATACCCTTTGGCATCTACCCATGACTTTTATTACCTTCCCTAGGGTGCAGACGGATAAATTTTAAAAAATGCAGCATCTCCACAATTTACCAACCAGCTGAACAAAACTTTTTACATGTAGAAAACATTTTTAAGTATACGGTAGACCTTCGCGAATGTCCTTCGAAAAACTTTTTTACACGGGCTATTCGGAGTGCAACCAAACTATATAACATTGAAAAGGTGCGCTATTAAAAAAAAAAAAAAGAAAGCCTCGTTTCAGCTCGCAACAATTCGAAACGGACGATGCTTTATTAAGCGAATTAATCAGGTATCGATTCTTACCGCTCAAATAAAAATTCTGCTCAATTTCAATCTTGAGGAGTTGGTCTCCAAAATTTAGTGAGGATTTTTCCATATTCTTGGGAGTTACTAAACTATGGATCAGCAGACCGCGGAACCTCCACCATAGATTTTTTTTACAAAAGAAGAGCAATGAGATAAGTATAAAGTTTGCTTTCGGGTACAAAGGAGAATAATTTAAAAGAGAAGTATGTTTTAATTGTCCATGACGTCCAACTTGGCGAGCATTCGGCAATCATCTACTCCGAGTGTTAATGACTGAACAACAATTTGAAAGCTCTAACAGTTTGGGCATCTGAATAGTGCCTCATCCGAAAGCTCTCAGAAAAGCTTTAGGCTGGAATTCATTGAACATGACCCTGGAATGAGGAACACCATCGTATCATTTCGGGGTGATCCATTAAACATGACTAATAATTTATTTATTATTTGAACTATACTTAAATTAAAAAAGAATCTCCATGTGGCTGTAAGGAGTTCAATTGCTGAATTTTAATTCGTAAAAATAATCAATTTCAAGGGTTGTTTGAATTATTTGACTCTGAGTGCACGTCACTTTAACCCCTCAGCTCATTCAGAAAAGCAGCTATCGAAATTCATGGATACTAATGGTGTTTTAATTTGCGATAAGAAAGGAAAAAAAGTACACCAATTGAAACATTTTTTCCCAAATACCGGATCGAATGTTAAACTTTGCATCTAACGCCAGTTTAAGTGGACCCTGATGATTAAGTTCGATCTCTTGTCTAAGCACGTCCAACGTTCAGCAGCTATCCGAAGTCGACACGTTTTTTCCTTTTCACATCGTGTCATAGTGGTATAAAACGATAGCAACTAAGTTATCGTGTTCCTGTTATCCTAAATATGGCTGCTAAAGCTGTTGAGCAGACAACTATGACGCAAACAACATGACCACAGCATGAATGTCTCGCCTGTGCTTTGATCTTAAATTGCTTTGCACTATATGAAATCTAAAAGGCTTCAGGAATCCAATTTGTAAGAGATCCTTCTCCGATTACGAACTCAGAGTTTAATGCGGACACCTTTAGAATCTGGTTTGTTTTGTTTTAATCAACAGTGCCAATATCCGCCAACTGACATTTTCTTTCGGCCAAACTTCACAGGACGTTCAAAAATCGATATAAATGTTTTGCAAAAGGAAAATCAAGATATAATTAGGTGGCTACTATACTAGCGCACAACTTTTAAAAAAGGTTTTGCTCTCTTTGTGGGATTCAGTTGTACTCATCGCGCAATTTTATAGCTACCGCACAACAAACAGGAATAACTAGCGTCGTACTTACCCACCACACAACATGTTAATAGAGTTTTGAAAATTTTTCCGGATTCAGTTCCATTCATCATCCACTTCATCATGGCCAAGATATGCAAAGGTTGCTGTTAAAAGGTATCGTTACACTAATATTTGATTCTCCCAGCTTGAGAGTTGCGGATATACGGCATCTTATAAAACCCTTTTGCACGAGACAGAGTTTAATGCAAATTATGATCTCTGATAGCTTGTTCCCGACGTTTGTCTCCATTTTTTTTTTCCCGTCAAAGAGGCAACAAGATAAAAGGCAGCTTGCACCAGATGTGAAGCATTGTTTTTCTTAATATAATCGGAAAACTTCACGGAATTAAAATACTCTTTATAATTCCAATTTTATAAAGAAGCAGCTCAAAAATAATTGATGTTAAGAATGATTATTTCTTTATCAGCTCCGCTAAATGAAAGTTTTCTTAAATCAACTTCTGTTTTATCAAACGGCAGCTAAAGCTAGCACGCCATCTGTTCGTATGCATAAACGGAAATGATTATTGTTTATGCTGCCGTTTCAGTTGGTGGGTGGTGGTAATTATTTCGCTGGCCTTCAACTTTGGTGGATTAATTCACTCATGTGTTAATAACATGTATTAATATTTTTACAGCACGGCAAACTCCGAGTCAAAGGATTCCTTCTCGATTTTCTTAGACCGTGAACTCGATGTGAGTTTACGTAAAGTTGATCGTTACTTGATCAAAAAACCAACGGAGGCCAACGGCCATAGTTTAGCGTTCAGCCTACAAAACAACTCTCCCATGAAAAAGCGTCATGCAGACCATTACTTTTGTGTCCAGATGTTTGAATTCCAACATTTTAGAAGGAGCGGTGGGGTCAAAATATGAAGTAGCCTTAGCTGCAATAAAGTTAGCCAATCGAAGCTTGAAACGTTTTGAGATATCACTTCTTCCGCCTAAATCGCACGCTTCTTCATCCATGCTGATTTATAAAGAGGTGCAATGTAGTTTAGGTTGTTGTAAACCGAGTTAGACACATCTACATGTTCAACTCCTTCTTTCGCTGGTTGAAATTCCTCTTCAATGCTAGCCTCCCCGTTGTAGTGATATTTGAAAGCCAGGCCCTCGGAAATTTTCCGCATTTCTATCGATGAACTTTTTCCCGTTAAATTGTCTACTCTGTGTAAAAGTTCTTTAATCGCTGTTTAATGAAGTTTGCGCAAGAGAATATAATCTCTTGGTTAATGCCATTTACGGCTAGCATCGCCCCAATTGAATTCCAGATTATTGGATGTATTTTCGATTCAAAATGCTACTTCTTATCTTAGGGATGCGAAAAAAAAGAAAAAAGAATAAAACTGGCAAATGTAACTGATCAAAAACGATCCAATCATGCGGGTTTTTCTGTCCTTTTAAATAAGCTGTTTATTTATTCAACCATTTACGTATTCATCTTTTTGTTCATTAACCAACAACTTTGAATGTCAACTTAATTTTTTTCATTTTTTTTTTAATTTAATAAACATTTATTGAAGAAACATTTGTACAAAACTAAACTTACATTACATTACTCTACTTACATTACTCGACATCACTCTACTTATTACATTACTGTACTTATTGGATAAGTCACTTTTACTTATTTCTTACTTATACTAACAGTCACTTAGTAACAGTCACTTACAGCGTCATGTTACTTACATAACGTTACTAAACAGAACATGACTTACAATACATTACAATACAAAACTCGCAATTCGCTGATTAAGCTCACTTGCCTACCTATAATTACTTAAGTACTTTACGAAACGGCACCTTAATTACCTTCTACGAACACTACAAAGTAAATTTAGAGACAGTGTTGGTAGAAAGAAAAGATAAGATTTTGGGCTTTGATTTAGTGTGTCTGTTTAAATTGGCTGGTTAAATCAGGAAAAAAAGGCTTGGCGGGAAAATCTGTGAATTAGGATGAGCTTCTTTAAATTCCTGCATGTTTGGTTTCTTGTCGAAACATTTTCAAGGGTAAATGAATAATTAGATTAATTAGATTAAATAGATTTGATTAGAATAATTAGAATAATTAGAATAATTAGAATAATTAGAATAATTAGAATAATTAGAATAATTAGAATAATTAGAATAATTAGAATAATTAGAATAATTAATAAATAATTAGAATAATTAGAATAATTAGAATAATTAATAATTAATTAGAATAATTAGAATAATTAGAATAATTAGAATAATTTAGAATAATTAGAATAATTAGAATAATTAGAATAATTAGAATAATTAGAATAATTAGAATAATTAGAATAATTAGAATAATTAGAATAATTAGAATAATTAGAATAATTAGAATAATTAGAATAATTAGAATAATTAGAATAATTAAATAATTAGAATAATTAGAATAATTAGAATAATTAGAATAATTAGAATAATTAGAATAATTAGAATAATTAGAATAATTAGAATAATTAGAATAATTAGAATAATTAGAATAAATAATTAGAATAATTAGAATAATTAATAATGAAAAGGTGTAGTCTGTGTCTTGGGAAATCGGTTCGGTGAGTTAAACGGGGATGTCGTTAAAATGTTATTTGTTTATTTGAAAGTGTAATGTCGGGGATGTCGTTTTTTATTTGTTTATTTGAACGTCAACTTTAGCTGCTACTACTATGGGCATTTTTTTTTGTTACGGTACAATTTAACCAACAGAAAGAACACTATTAAACAACTTTAATATTCTTACTAAGGAGCGACTCTTAAAGGAAGTACACTTTTATGCTAAATAAACTTATTTAAGCCCACTAAAAATTACATCTTAGCTCACCACTGACACAATCTCACAGTTGTCTCCCAAGTTCCTCGAATTTAACAATCTTCCACAGTAGCTCTCTTTCATTAGAACTCTCTGAAAAATCAGTCACTACCGACAACAACAACTACTACTGCTGCACGATTGAGTCCTTTGTACAAAGTGTTCCAGATAATTCCAGAAGCTTACAAGAACCATTTTGGTGGCGTTACACCATAGCTACGCAACCTAATAAAATATTGCAGAAAGTTCCTTTGTATGCATGTCAGCATGACTACGTATTCTAGAAATTTCTAGAAACTGATAATTTCAGTGACTATCCATAGCCTATAGTTAAAAGTAATAACAGTGTTTGATAAGAAGTTTATAAACTAAGTAAATGAAACAAAGGAGTCATCAGCATACGGAGCCATTAGGAATTTAAATTTATAGATTGGTTTATTTCGATGATTCTTGCCTGCAAATATACGATCGCCTAGAAAATAAACTTATTATCATAAAAATGATAGGTTACAAAGACATCAAGTTGAATGCTTAAACAATAATGCAGACACAGACCTCTTTTTACCTGCAGATCGTAACTCAGACCGATCGTAAGCGACTTATTGCTGTTAACTAAGTGATTGTTCTAAGTATTTGGTTGTTATTTCCGATTGGCTGAATCAAGTTATTTAACTTAAGTACAATTTCGATTCAAATTCAGCACATGACTGCAATTAAATTGCCCATACATTCCCAACCTCATTTGGATTGACCTGTGGGCTCTTCCTTGTGGAGTTGTCCTTTATAGAAGATGGAAAAACGATATTCATCTTTCTTTTGAATCGCTCTCTGATCTGCAGATAGACGAGCAACACGAAATATGGTTCTTAGCACTCGAATATTTATTGAAACACTAAAACTTGATGATATAAAGTTAATAATCAGTTCAATGTTTTTTCTTACCTGAGTGTTTCGCATACAGTGTAGAGCGAAAATCAGGAAACCCTGCAGCATAAAAATGATTTCAAGATCATTAATTTTTACAATTTGCAAACAAATTAGTAAAATATCTATTAAGATTTCCAAGAAGGAAGGAAAATTGCACATCTTATAATTGAAAAAGAAGTCTGCCTTCTCTTGCATAGTTGACACCTTTTTGTTTTAAAGATTCCAAAGAAATGTAATCTGACCATCCTAATGGTGTCTCACTTGGTCAGAAAGTAAAATAAATAATAGAGATTAATGTCTTTTTACAGTTACCATTGAATACTGACCTGAGTAGAGTTAAGTATGGTGAAGATGTAAGCGAAAGCTTTATTTACAGGCGAGAGGAGACCGAATAGCCACATGACACCCAGCTGGGGAATCATCACCACGCATGTTTTGATGCCAAGACTAGGAGTTAGAAAAAAACATTCTTTTACTTTCCTTTGACAATGAATTTTTATGTTGATGCCTTACTGATTAAGGAATGAGAAAGCTAGGCAAATATAGCCCCACAGGAGGGCATGGCAATGTCTTCCACTATTTTTTTTAGTTTTATGCTGTGATTCTCACCGTATTTGCTGAAAATGGTGGTCTGCCACTGTTGGCTGCAACAGATTGGTCATCTCCCTTATTACACGTAGGAGTATCAAAATGTTGAGCTAAAATATACCAAAAAAAGCGATTATTTAGATATGGATGTCGAATAGCCAAGGCATGGGAGGATCTTTGCCAAGGAAGTTACTAATTCGGTAACAAGCGTGGGATGAAGAGTAATTTACAGGGAATAGAGCTCCCAACAGGGGGACCAAGATTAGGAGCTTCGATCTCTGCCAATGAACAAAAGAAATCGCGCAAAAAAGTGTCTAAACTGAAAGAACCACGCCAAGTAAAGCCTTATGTTAAATTATAGAAATTACATAAATATATCCTACTCTTCCTGCTCCTTTCACATTTTTCATTTTTGTTTTGTTTTGTTTTGTTTTTTTCACGAGTTATTTTTGCGTTGAAGGAAGGGGCAGAAGTTTTTTGTTCATACTGTGTAGTAAAAGTTGGAGAATTTATGAAGCTCTCTCTTATGCCTGTGAGGACATTGTCTCCACAGGTTTTTCTCGCTATTGAAGACCATCAGTAGGTTAAAATTGACCAGCATCCCCACAAACAGCGGCTACGTCCAAAGCTTTTTGTGAGTAAATAGGAAAAAGAAAATGGTAAATATTGTCTTGGGTCATATCATAAATACTTAATTTGTTTTAAAGAGCAGAGGAAAAAATCTTTCGCAGCAATTAGTCCAGGGAATACCAATCACAATCACCAACACTAATCATTAACTCACAACTTCAATAAACGCCACAAAGGCGACAAATATCCAGATCAGGTTGTTAGTCGAGGAAAGCCAGCAACTAAACTCGAGGAAGTGAAACACAAGAAAGATATACACATTGTCAGAAAATAAAATGATACCTATTTCAAACTATATCCAAAAAAAAAACAAAGAGAGAAATGCAAAAAATTAAAAGGAGAAGAGCAAGAAGAAACCCTTGAATTTTTTTCTTACTATTTATCACTCGTGTAGCTTTGTAACCCTTCTTTTCCAGCAGCGATGCCAAGTGAAATGGCCACCATGATCACTGGAAGACCTACCCATAAACAAAGGAAGGATATCAAAGCATTATACTGCATGACAACACCAGATTTAGCGATCCGAAAGTATGGGTACAGTTACCAGTGCATGTTTTAAAATAATAAACTTACCCCATGAGATGACGTGATACATGTACATCTTGGTGTTAATGTTGTAAACTTTCACGACGAAGAAGTAGAAATAAATTCCCTCGATCAGCATCCAACAGAAAGCGGCCATCAAGAAATACTGCATCAGAGCTGCTATTGTTACACAGGCAGCCTGTGGAAAGGACGAGTTTTCGTATAATTCTTAACGTGCTTCTTTCGATAAGATATTTGCGGTGCAAAGACCAAATTCATACTATGGATAGAAGGAGAGGCTACTGACTTTGTTTCCTGTGGCGTTTATTCCAGCGAGGAAGATGATCTGTCCAGCTCCAAGGGAAATAGAAACACTCAGTCGAATTTGAGAGAGAGGTTTACGAACATCCCTGGTAAAATAATATTAAAAACAAGAAGAATGAATGAGACAAAAGCAACAACACACAGGAAAAAATTAACTAAATCTTGACAGCGAAGGAAAGAAGAAAGTCAGTAAATAGCTCCAGAGAGGACAAAAAAAGAAAATATTACGAAGAAAATGTCTAAAGCCTAAAAAATTCATAAAAAGTGAAACCATTAGTTGTTCAAAAGTTCGTGATGGGGCATGAAATGTAGCTTGAGTTTGTGAATTATCCGACATGACTGTTCTTGTTTGCATGGAGACTGGCATTGAGATCTCTTTTATCACCAGCCTTGTTGAGGGGAGTTAAGAATCTACCTCATTATTAATCGAGTGCATTGCTTACGTGAGGCAAGAATAAAGTATTAATGTTAAAAGTATCCCGATTATGGAAAGGCTCAGTCCCACGTAGGTGATAATTTTCAGAATTCTTTCGTCCTCCTCAGTGAGCTGTGTCAAGAAAAGAAAAATTGAAGGACAACATTGAGTTAGTTCATTGAGCCCATAAAACTATTAAGTAAGGCAAAAATAACTTTATTACCTTTGTGCTACCGTCGTAGTCCAGTAAGACGGCAAAATGCGTCAAATGATTGCAACTGCAAACTGTTTCTTCTGAGTTACTTTTTGATGTAACTACATGACAACCTTCCTCTGAAAAGCTGTGACACATGAAAAAAGAGTAAAGTTAAAAAATTATTCATCGTTTGAGTAAAAGGTGATGTTTGAGAATTTTGCGCTAAGATTTTCTTCCATTGTAGTCATAGTTGCGAGAACATTTCAATGAGACTTCCCTTCTTTAAAAACGACAACATGTTGGCTTCCAGGAAAGTGTTAATCTGCGCAAAAACATCTGAGAAAGTTCATTCATTCTCCTACATACTCAATATAATTTAAGAAGGAATAAATACTATGCAATAATATATTGTAGTTTTTTTACCTTTTGCTGCGGCTACTCCAAAACATACAGCGCTTCTCTGCTGTCAAGACCTGAAAATAGATTTTATCTCGTCAGAATAAATCAAAACAACGCATAGCAGCTAGTTTTCATGTTACCTTTAGGTTTTTGAACTTTAGGATGATATTTTCTCGCAATTTCTCTGGCTTGGGGTCCATAGTTACGGCCATTATCCTGGAGTTGATATACCTATGAAGAAATTGTATTTGAAAATGGATCAGAACCAAGGAAGCAATATTACAGTTTTTTTGGTAGATTCAATTAGCTAATTTTTCATGAAGGTGGAATGGTCAGAGACAAGCATTTAGTATTCCAACCATAGTAAGGGTTTTTGGGAAGTTTCTCAGTTTAGTTTAGTTAAACTTAGATCTTATGTGTTTCCGTGTTATGTGTTTTTGGAGGTAAACGACATGGAGTAATATGAAAATATTGGCACCTTTGGTTGTCTGTTTCACTCCTAATGGCTTGATCTGTCAGAAGTAGGTCATGCAGATCCTTGTACACACATACAACCACCATTGATCCTTTAAACGCCCCAAGGATCAACAAAACATGTTATCAAACAACAACAAAAAAAACACAAAATTGAAATTTTTATCAGGCTCTGAGGTATGTGACATTTTAGGGAAGGCGAATGATTAAAGAAGATAGACTATGTAAAATAAGGAAGTGCCCTTACATGAGGCTTTATTTAAATACAGAAATTGCTATTGGAGAAACCAAGGTAATACTAAAAGTTGTAAAGTTACCACACTAGTTCATACGAACCATTTTTCTCAAAATTTGAAGAAGCGATACCGACTCTTGCTCGCCATCGTTGTTCCTCAAAGTTGAAGCCACTTACATTCTGGCGATAGGCTTTTTGAATGACCAAAACTGTCGGAAAGAAAAAATGACAAATGAAAGCACCTACGGTGAAATTTACAATAGTACACTTACACAAACCTCCATTTTGCGGTGCACACAAATATTTCATAATCTTATTGGTTGGAAGTGTATTGTATGTATCCTATTTGCCCTTCAACGACTATTGGACACATTCAACCATTTACAAAATTTTTCAATGTAAAACTGATGAAAAAGTGCGTAGTACTGCACGGACTAAAATTGTGAAAACTCAATTCGTTCCTCGAACCGTTTCGTTGGAGAACTATAGAGTTCATTAGGGAATTTTGAAGCGTACGGTTAAAAATCTGCATTAATGTGCGTCGCAGACGACAGGCCAATTTTTAGCTCAGTGTACGGTATGAAGTAGGCGTAAAGCATTTCTAAGATTTGATTTTAGTTAGTAAAGTGTTACTCACCAATCTATTATTTAAGAAGAGTTTCAATATACAGATGAAGAAGAAGGGTTTCAAAATTTTAAGGATTCCTATTCTCTCCTATTGATTGTTTAAGAAAACGTTCAATTTCCTTCTCCACCACGAAAAATCAAAGTATCAAACAAATTGAAAAAAAAAACACAGATGAATCGATGACATCCAACAATAACAGTTCTGATAAGTTGGGCTAATAGCTGAGTCTTACATCATTTAGCCATAGGAAATTAGACAACTCAGTGAAACAGTCAGCAAGTTAGTAAGTAACAGAGGAATAGACTTTGAAACTAAACAGGATTAAAGGCCGCAAACTCACCAATTTTGGAGGAAACGATCCTTTCTGAATGCCTCATTCCTCTCAGGTGTCGGTTGCCGTAATTAAGAGCAAATTTCTCGACGGCCTCTGCCACCTCAAAGATGGATTTTTTCAGTGTTTTAACCTCTTCTATGCCGGCCTTGTCTTTTGTGACGTTCTTGATTTTTAAGGTGAAATCTTCATACGCAGTAACAGCCTCCTACAATTACGTAAAATATTTCCAGGTCATTAAACAGGCAGTCTCATACTGTATATACAATTCATATTAAAGCTCCAAAGGGTGTACAAGGTATTCATTGGCCAGAGAACTCTTTTGGGAGCCTGGATTATTTTTTAAGCTTCACCATTTTTACCTCATATGGCTTAGTGGTGGTTTATCCTTAAAGGTCAGGTATTTACTTTTTTATCGTTTAAAAACATACACCAAAGTTAAAAAGCCTTTAAGTCATGTGGAATTAGATACCTGTAGGGAAGTCCTTCTGGTAATATTTATTCCGCCAAATTTTGAAGCATACTCCTCTGCCTAAAATTAAAAATATTGTCTCTCACGTTTGTAAACAGAAGAGATCTTGAAAAACGACATGCATAAAAACGGTAATTGACTATTTAGAGAACATACTAGCTGCTCAACTGGTGATGGCGATGGCGATGGCGATGGCGATGGCGATGGCGACGGCGACGGCGACGGCGATGGCGATGGCGAGGGGAATGGCGATGACGAGGGCGATGGTCGTGGCGACGGCGACGGGACGACGATGGCGATGGATGATGGTGATGGTGAGGTTGGTTGCAAGGTCTATTCCGGGTGATAGTAAAGGCGACGAAGTTACTGAAGATATTGAGGAATCTTTAAAGAAAAATGTTAATCAAGACCACATCATACAAAAAAGTTGCCTTACTATTACACTGCGAGGGCAAAACTGCGGACGGAAAGGGGAGTAACAAAATGGCCGCTAATAGCGTTCAAAACTCTTAAACGCACTCGATTTTTTATTAGTTATACAGAAAGCTGTTATTGTTTCTTTAGTATTTTATTTGTCTTTGGCACACGTCTTGTGTGATTGTTGCTTAGATAGGGCTGTAGGATGTTTTTCGAAAACTAGACGCCAAAATACTAGAGAATGAAAAATATTCTGTAGACTTTTCCCTAATAGCTGAAAAAGCTGTAACACAATATTTCAACATCCTGTTCCGCGTTTTCTTGAATAATATTCCACTGATCAAATTCCATTTTGCCTCTTTAGACTTCACTTTACTATGTGTCGTTCCCTTGGAAACAACCTGCATTTTATCTCGTATTGGATCATTATTCAAAGCGCAATACCCAACACCACTGAAAAAATATCACATGGGACTAGATGCTACTGATAATGAATTCTCCACACAATTCTGGTTGCTTGAAAAGTTTTGCTCTTTTCCTGTTTCAAGACTGAAAGCGTTAAGAATCCAAAGTGTCCCATCTCATCTACGCATGCCTATGTATATCTTTTCGGTGCGCAGAACATCAATTATATTCCAACTCAGTATTATAACATAGCCAGCAAATTTGTGTAATCAAATTCAATTGCGCGAGCGTGCTTCATATTCCCATTGTGCGCGCTCATGACGTCAGCATGCAAATCCCTCGAGAAAAAACATTTTCCACTCAAGAAGCTTGAGTTGCTCGAGGCTACGCCTCGAGCACTTCTTACGTATCTTTCGTGCTCTCCAAACTTCCCGCGTGCTTCATATCTCGATGAACGCACGCTGACGTATGAACCAATTTTTAATTGACTATCTTTTAGACAAGAAAGTGCATCTACGCCCTCTGAGGATATATGAGAACTGAGGTAATCCTTACCAACCTCGTTATAGAGTAGTGGTTGCTAAGTCGATCGAAATGTCCGCCATATTCGAATTAGATGCACGATGGTCAGTTTATTATGCTCACTGCACATTTTGCATTGCATTGAAATTAGCCCTTACAACTTCACAGTTCAAATGATCGGATATTAAAATATAACACAGTAGACTTAAAATTGATTCCCCTATCCGAAGAACAAATAAGTCTGCAAGTCTGTTGTATTTGTTTTAGAAAACGATAATTGGCATGGTTCTTAACCGACATGAGTCACGAACTCTTCACAAAAAGATAACGCTCTTCACATCATCACGCGTTATCATCTAACAAAGCAGTTGGACTGATAATTCTTTGCAATTGGTATTCGCCATCAGTTTCATAACTGCTGTTATTCGTAAAAGTGATTGTAACAGAACCATCTGTAACTTTCCCCTGTTCACAAGGTTAAAGTTAGACATGTATATCGTGAAAACGTTCATTGAGATTGTTTCAAAAATATTTCAATTTACGCAAAGGTAAGTGTAAACTTGATTTTGACTGTGTGAGGGTTTTTATAATTTCTCTCGAGAATACCACAAACGTTAGCAAATAATGTTTTATATTGCCCTTAAGCGCTTCTAGTGCTTTTGAGTTTACTCAAAATAACATAAAAAAATAAAAATAAAAACAACAACAACAACATATCAACTCACCCTTAGGGATCTCACAAATATAAGCGTGCGGTTTTTTCCAACTTTCATTATTATGGCTTCCAAACACGCCCCGTTCACCATTACGGAACCTCTTGTACATGAAAGCGGCGTCGTGTTCACCACTTGGCTCCCCTTGTCCCCATTTGGAAATAGTCAGCCGTCTTCCACTCACCCAGGTCCAATTCCTGGCCCTTTTTCTTAAACCAATTCTCCATTTATTTTCATTGTTCGTAGTATTTCGCCTTTGAATTTCGTCATTAATTAAACTCCATTCTTCTTGGGTTTCAAAGGAAACTAGGTCCCCTCCTAGACTTGAGCAAGTGTGTCTGCCCCAGTACCAGGACTCTCCATCCACCGAAATTATGTACCAAGAGTTTTTAAAAGTTATATTTGGGCATTCTACATGATGATGAAGATGAAAACAAAAATACCAATTATCCTAATGATGATACACAAAGCGATGATTATAATAGCATTGATAACATGAAAAGATTATAATCACAATCACAATAAAGGAAAAAATGAATGAGACAGAAAACGTGACTCATTCCCCAATTAATTCCTTTTTTTCTTTTTTTACATCATATGCATTTGTTTGATCAGTGTCAATCAATACTATACATCTTTCTTCACTACGGCGTCCGCCACCCTGGCCTGCTTTTGTGGATTAGTTAACTTCACTTCAGCTAAGATTATGATTATAAGGTTATTTGTGAATTCATGTAATTTTGGTAGACGAGCTTTTGAATATTAATTAGTTCCTCGTTGAGCTGACACCTCTCCCACTCCGCCCCCTACTCTTCCTCCTCTATCTAATCAGACTTAAAAAACGTAAAAATTAAATGTGAATGCAGGTTCCCATAAATGTGCAACTGGAGATACGCATTCAACCGTATACAGTTGTTACGGGCAAAGAGCAAAACTTTAAAGTGCACGCGACAATCTCAAAAGATTATCTGGGGAACGATAATCAATAGGGACATAAAAATTAAAGATAAATTAATTAGGGTTAGAGCAGTTTAGAATTTAAAGTCAGTCTTGCAATTAAAAAAGGTTGTTCAAACCCGTGATGCCTCCTCCTTAAAGTGACATTTCCTAGATTTGTCTGAATTCCTGAGGTCAAGTCTAACCATGACTTAAAAGCTACCAGCAATACCTTTCAGATTATCGCTTACAATTCTGACACGCTTTTTCCGATAACCTTTCTCAAAAGAACTGCATTTATTATTTGTTTTTCTCAGAGGGCACGGTAACGGATCCGGGAATCTTATTGGTAATTCGGTGCGGGTTTTCCTATCTCTGCCCACGGGCACGGTATCGCTTGAGCGAGCCGCCGATTACATCTCAAGCTTTGTTGCCATTTTTCATAAATTTATTTCGTTTTGCCGGCTGGACAGTGTATTTAAGCAAATCGTTGTGGAGCAAATCGAGCCGATTGATAACATTAATTCTTTGTTTCTATCTCTTAGATCACTTTGTTTGCCTGTAAAAAGAATTGGCTTTGGGATGAATATTGGTAGCAAATATGTCATTAGATGAGTTAACGCGCGGCCTAAAAGCCGCTTGTAATTAACCTAAACCTTACTAGAAGTAACCCAGAAAGCTAAAACGTGAGGTATTTCTTTGCAATTGAATTCATTAATGGTAATTTTATTCATTATGTATCTGAATTCTCTCAAATAATTTGTTCCTCGGAGAACAGTGAGCGAGGTCTTCTCTACTTCAAATACGCTTTCGGTAAGTCTTTGCAAGTCCGTTCAAACTGGACATTGGTACCGGAAATTTTGCAACAGTAAACAAAAGAATTCAACGAGAAAAAGCTACTTTAAAATTCCCCTTTTCATGAAATACCAGTTCCACAAGAAAACTCCCACAAATTCAAAACATAGATTTAAATTTACTTAAAATTATTATCCAGTTCAGTTTATTTGCCAAACCAGCGCCGTTGTGGTTGTTGATTCGTTTTAAAGGGTGCATGCGCTTTTTTCTTCCGCGCTCTCTAATTGATAGGTGTCAAATTGTGACAGATGCTTGTTAAAAAATGTTTCAAAGTTTGTTTGGAGGCCTCTTAAATTATCTTTTTCGTTACCCAAATAAAAATATTTCGGTGAGGCCTCTTTTTAATTTACATTACCTCAATCTGTTTCAACCACCATTTATACTCGCTCAAAATTTGTTCAGATCAAGGAAGGTCTTGCCGCACTTACAGCCCTAACTCATTAGGGCTCTTAAGGAAAACATTTCGTTAATTTCAAGGGAAAAAAAACAGTTATTCACCAGCCTAGGTCGGTCCGTATTGGGAAAAACTGTGCCATTTATCTGAACTACCGGTGCTCAAGACCTTGGGCACAGTGTTACCCAATACAGACCTTCCAGCCGGTGAATAACATATTGATCACTGACTTGTACAAGAAACACACACCCGGACACACAAGAATAAAAGTACTTCGATGTGTTATGTTCAAAACAACAAGCATACACCGAAAACTTCACGGGCAGCGTGTTCAACTACTTATGCGCGCCTAAAAGTTCATTCATCGCTCACACGTACAAGTTAGGTGGGCTGAGTATATTCTGTGAACAATGCTTTTTTTTACTTTTAAGAAGCAAGAGCAATTTTCATGACATACGTGCAAGACTGCTAATGTTTCAGCACATTATATGCTTTATGGTTGAAATGTGATCTTACCTCCGGGCATCTCGCAAATGTAGGCATCTCCTTTATCATTCCGAGAGATACCATTAAAGAGGCTTCCATTCATGGATATTTCCGCCCTTTCGTCGTTCACACTTGGCTCAGAATCTCGCCATTTCGAAATATTCAGCTGTTCTCCACTCTTCCATATCCAAACCCCATCTTTCTCCTCCAAACCAATGAGCCACGCATTAGTAGTCGAAGTATTCCAAGTACCACGCTTTTGAATCTCATGATTGATAAACTGCCATTCTTCCTCAGTCTCGATGGAGACTAAATAACCTCCCAAGATGGAGCAGACTTCATTGTTAGGAAACCTGTAAATTTTGCTTTTCGAAAATATGTAAGAGGAGTTTTTGAAACAGGTTGGTTGGCACTCTATTAGAAGAAAATAAATGAATAAATAAATAAACGTAAAAGTGTATACTGATGATAACAACAGTGAAAGCGATAATGATAAAGACGAGAAGGTCTATTTTATATTATTAATTTTAATAAACGATGGGCATCAAAACCCTCTACATCAATGAAGCAAATATTAGAATTAGGCTAGGTTTTAAAAGTGGATCTTGGAGAGATCAGGGTAATAGCACCGTTATTCTTTGACTTTTTGTTTTGCTTTCTAACTCACGTTTTGAATCGCAATCCTATGTAATTTTAAAAGGAAGTCACTCTATAACTAATTAATATGATACTTAGTCAGGTATTATCTTTTTTTCCTGTCCATGTTAACGACCATAAATATTAAATTGGAATGAAGCTGCCTCACCTGTCCCTGGTAATTTCATCAACAAACGAAGGATGTCTGTAGAAGAGAAAATGGACAAATAAATTGATTGTTATCTCCAGAGTAACATTTGAAACAATGAAAAAGTTTATTAGATTTCGAGTAAGACGAACTAATGAATTTTATTTGCTACATGCCCTTTAACATCTATTCATGAATTTTATTACCTTCCAAGGGAGCTGACGGAGAAATTATAAAAAAAATGCAGCACCTCCGCAATTCACCAACTAGCTCAACAAAACTTGATACATGTGGAAACATTTTTAAGGATACGATAGACCCTCAGGAATGTCCTTCGGAAATTTTTTTTAAATGGGTTATTCGGAGCGCAACCGAACTATAAATGAATGAAAAGGATGTAAAATGTGCTATCCAGGGAAAAAAATGTTTCGTTTGAGCTCGCATTTTAAGCGAATTAATCAGGTATCAATTCTGACCGCTCAAATAAAACTTCTGCACAATTTGAATCTTGAGGGGTTGGTCTCCAAAATTTTGTGAGGATTTTTCCATATTCTTGGGAGTTACAAAACTATGGATCAGCAGGCCGCGGAACCTGCGGAATCTCAAGAGCCCATATATATATATTTTTTTTTAAAGAAGAGCAATGGGTTGATTATAAAGTTTGCTTTCGGGCATAAAGAAGAATGATTTAGAAGAAAAATATGTTTTAATTAATCATGACGTTCAACTTGGCGAGCAGTGAGCAGTCATCTACTCTGAGTGTTACTAACAGAACAATAATTTGAAAGCTCTACAAATTTGGTTACCGCGATATTTGATTAACGCCTCATCCCAACGCTCTAAGGAAACCTACTTTGCACTATATGGAATCCAAAAGGCTTCAGGAATCCAATTTATAAGAGATCCATTTCTGATTAAGAAGTGAAAGTTTAATGCGGAAATCTTAAAGTCTGTTTTGTTATGTTTTAATTAACAGTGCCAAATATCCGCCACCTGACATTTTTTCTCTGTTTGGTTTGGCTGAATTTCACAGGACGTTCCAAAATGGATATAAATGTGTCACAAATGGAAAGTCAAGATATAATTAAGGTGGTACTAACCAAGCGTACAACTTATACGAATGTGTCGTTACGGGTGATTATTATTCAATTATTTTTCATTGTAAGGAAAAAGAAAAATATCGAGAAACTAATAGTAACGATAATGATGATAATTAGCTTTAATAATTAAACAACAACTAGAGAGGACATGTTAAGAGTTTGGTATGTTTCGTTATTAGAGTTCCGTAAGGTAAATATCGAAATAAATAGTTTACAAATAAAAGTCAATTTTGACGGTTTCATAGCTACCGCAGAACAAACAGGAATAACTAGGGTCGTACTCACCCAGCATACAACATATCACCGGTGTTTTGAACATTTTGCAGGATTCACTTATATTTGATTCACACCGCGTGAGAGTTGCGGATTTGCGGCATCCTCACAAAAAGCCTTTCGTACGAGTTAGACTTTGATGCAAATCATGATCTCTGAACACATGTTCATGGCATTTTTTTCTGTCATATACGGACCAATGGACAAAAAGCCACTTGCACCTGGTGTGGAGCATTGTTTTTCTAATACAATCGGCAAACTTCACGGCATTAAAATACTTTTTGTAGTTCAAGTGTTGTGGAAGAAGCAGCTAGAAAATATTTGATGGTAAGAACAGTAAATGTTTTATAAGCTCTGTTATATGAAAGTTGTCTTAAACAAAATTCTGTTTTATCAACGGGCAGCTTAAGCTAGTATGCCATCTGTTCGTTATGCATAAATGAGAATTATTTTTATTTATTCATATCGCCTGTGACATGCTAATTACTTCGTATGCCTTTAAAACAACTGTGGCTAACAGCCAAAGTTTAGTGTTCAGCCTACAAAACAACTCTCCCCTAGAAAAGCGTCATGCAAACCATCATTTTTGTGTCCAAATGTTTGAATTCCAACAATTTAGAGCGAGCGGTGAGTGAAAAGCTCTTCGTGCGAGACGTTCTTGGATCATAGTGATGTGCTCTGTGGGCGAGACATTCTACTGTCCCAGTGTCTCTCCACGCTCATAGAATAATCGATTATTTATTCTGGAATATTCGCTCGTCTTAGCTGCGATATATTAGGTCAATCGAAGCTTGAAGCGTTTTGACCAATCACATTTGAGCAGTGTAGAGAGGAAAGTGCTTGTTTACTTCAGAATAATTCTTATTTTAACTTCTTCCGTCATAATCGCACGCTTCGTCATCCATGTTTATTTATAAATGGGTATGACGCAAATTAGATTATTATAAACTGTTAAGCACATCTACATAACAGACTCCTTCTCTCCCTCATTGAAATTCCTCTGCAATGTTAAGTTTCACTGTAATGATATTTGAAAACCAGGCCTATCGAAATATTCTGCATTTCTATCGCTAAGCTTTTTCCTTTAAATTGTATACCCTGTGTAAAAGTTCTTTAATCGTTGTTTAATAATGTGTGCCCAATAGTTTATAATCTCTTGGTTTATGTCATTTAAGGCTAACATTGCGCCAATTCAATTCCAAATAAATCGATGTGTTTTCGATTTAAAACGACACTCCTTATTTTAGGAATGCGAAAAAAAAATGGGTACATGTAACTAATCCAAAAAAAGATCCAGTCATAAGGGGCTTTTTCCTGTTCTTTCTAAAGAAGTTGTTTACTTATTCAAACATTTACGTATCGATCCATTCATTTATTAAGCAACAGCTTTGAATGTCAGCGTTAGCTGCTAAGACTATTAGTATTATTTTTAACAGTACAATTTAAAAGACAAAAAGAGCATCATTTATCAACAGACCCAATTAATTTATAAAACAACTTGTAATATTCTGCCAAGGAGCGACTCTTAAAGAAGTAGAATAATTATCCTTAAAGAGACAACCACAAACTATTTCTTTGCTCACCACTGACACAATCTCGAAGTTGTCTCCAAAGTAACTCGAGATTAACAATCTTCCACGGTTGCTCTCTCTCGGTATAGCTTTCTGAAAAGTCAGTCCCTCCCGACAACAATTACTACTGCTGCACGACTGTGTCCTTATGTACAAAGTATTCTCGCAAATTCCGGACGCTTACAACACAACGATATTGGTAGTGTTACATCATAACTATTTAACCTAATAAAATACTCCAGAAGGTCCCTTGGTATGCATTTTTGCATGACTGGGCATTCTCGAAATTTCTAGAAACTAATAGTTTCAGTCATTATTCATAGCTTATTATTTAAAGTAATAACAGTGTTTGGTGAGAAGTTTGTAAACTCAATGAGTGAAACATCGAATATGAAATAATCATGCAGTAAGCGCAGAAATTTAGCGCGCAAGAATCGAAAGATAAATACATTCAATTAAAGCTGCGTGCTAGAGTGCTTCTTAAAGAAAGACAATTCGTGATATCTTGGCTTAAATTCCCGCCTCGTCTGTAGTGGACTGTGTTCTTACTCGAAGGAAAGTCATCAAGATACTGAGCTATTAGAAATTTGAATTTATAGATTTGTTTATTTCGATGAATCTTGCCTTCAAGTATACTATCGCCCAGAAAATAAACTTGTTATCGTAAAGAAGATATATTACAATTACAGTTAGTTGAGTGCTTAAACAATTATGAAAAGAAAAACCTCTTTTTAGCTGCAGATCGCAAGTCAGATCGATCGTAACCGACTTTATGCTGTTAACTAAGTGATTGCAATAAGTAATTGACTGTCATTTCCGGTTGGCTGGATCCAGTTATTTAAGTTAGGTGCGATTTCGATTAAAACTGAGCACAAGACTGCAATTTAACTGCCCATACATCCCCAACCTCACTTGGATTGACCTGTGAGCTCTTCCTTGTGGAGTTGCTCTTTATAGAAGATCGAAAAACGATGTTCATCTTTCTTTTGAAACGCTCTCTGATCTGCAGATAGACGAGCGACGCGAAACACATTCCTAGCACTTGTACTCGGATATCTCTCGAAAAACTAAAACTTGATGATATGGAGTTAACAATTAGTTTGTTTATTTTCCTTACCTGAGTGTTTCGCTTGCAGTGTAGAGAGAAAATCAGGAAACCCTGCAGCATAAACATGATTTCAAGATCATTAATTTTTACAATATGCAAACAAATTAGACAAAATACCTATTAAGATTTCCAAGAGGAAAGAGAATTGCATGTCTTATAATTAAAAAAGAAGTCTGTCTTCTCTTGCATAGTTAACAGAATTGTTGTTTTTAAACTTCCAAAAAATATCATGTGACCATCGTAATGGTGTTTCACTTGGTTAGAAAGTAAAATAATGATAGAAATTGAATGATTTTGGCAGTTACCATCGAACACTGACCTGAGCACAGTTGAGTATGGTGAAGATGTGAACGAAAGTTTTATGTACAGGCGAGAGGAGACCGAATAGCCACGTGACACCCAGGAGGGGAATCATCACCACGCATGTTTCGATGCCCATTCTAGGAGTTAAAAGAAAACATTCATTTATTTTCCTTTGACAATGAATTTTCATTTTTAGATATCTTAAGGCCTTACTGATTAAGGAATGAGGAAGTTAGGCGAATAGAGCCTCACAGGAGGACTGGCTGCCTCTTCCACTATTTTGTTTTAGTTTTATGTTGTGGATCTTACTGTATTTGCTGAAAATGGTTGTCTTCCTCAGTTGGCTGCAACAAATTGGTCATCTCCTTTATGACTCGTACGAGTATCAAGGTGTTGAGCTGAAGAATACAATTGGAATAAATTGATTATTTAGAAATGGTTATCGAATAGCCAAAGCAGGAGAGGATCCTTGCCAGAGACGTTGGTAACAAGCGCGGGATGAAGAGTAATTTACAGGGAATAGAAATCCTAACCGGGGAGCTTTGATTATCTGATAAAGTGCGAAAGAAATCGCGAACTTAAGTGTCTAAACTGAATGAAATTTTTCAATCTACTTCTCTTACTGCCCCTTTCATCTTGTTCAATGTTTTTTTATGAATTATTTGTGCGCGAAAAACATATCTTGGTATATCAATGTGAAACAGTAAGAGAACATTAATAAAGAAGGGGAAGAATCTTTTTTCTCATACTATGTAGTTAAAGTTAGAGAATTTATGTAGTTTTTGTAGTTTAGTTTTTGAATATCAATTAGTTCCTCGTTGAGCTGACACCTCCCCGCCCCTACACTTCCTTCTCCCTCTCCCACCTGAACAGACTTAGAAAAAACGTAAATTAAATGTGAATGCAAGTTATCATAAATGTCCAACTGGAGATACGCAGTTAACCTTATAAAGTTTTTACCGAAAAGTTTGTCGGAAAAAAAGAGCAAAAATATAAAGTGCACACGACAATCTCAAAAGACTATCTGGGTAATCAATACGGACATAAAAAGTAAAGATACTTTATACACTGAAACTCTATTCCCAGTTTGAAGAAGAATCTACGAAATTAATTATGCTGGTTTGCTTTCCTTGTCAATTAGTTTTCATCTATCACTTTGATAAAGTACTTTTACTGTAGTACAACACCTCAACCCTTCAACTCCCAAGATCTCATTAGTGATTCTTGTTACTGTCTGCCATACAGTTCTTGTGATGTTAGTTTGGAGAACTTGGTATTGGATCAATTTAAAATCATGATCCCCTAATTGATATTTTACTTTATTCTCATCTGACCTGTCTGCCTGATATTGTATTGATATTGTAAGGAGAAATTCTGTACAGTAAATGGTTTAACCCGGAGGTAACATGTAATGGTGTAGTTTGATCGTTCGGGTGAGTGTAGTCCTGAGAAGGTCTGCTGTCGGTAGTGGTGACTGATGTTTCGACAACCCGAGGTAAGCCCTGACGACAACTCACAACGGACAGCAGTCTATAGGAAACTGACACATAACGACAAATTACTGGACGAGTCATTCTACAACCCGACATCACACAAAGCCACAACTATTAGGACTCTCACGCGACGAGCGCAACTAGTATGCAACACGACAGACAGCTTCTGCATTAACCTAGTCTATAGAACGACATACAGCAAAACAGCAATTCATGGAGAATATTGGATTATGGCCTGAGTGTAACGCCATAAGGCCACTTTATTAAAGCAGATACTAATAACGTCTACAAAAAGAGAGACTGAAAATGTAAACTAGAGAAAGCCGTGCCGGGGGGGCAAACCCGGTGTGAAAAACGGATAGGAAATCTGGGGCGGGCCAGGTACGACTTAGTCCCCCGCCGAGAAGCTTAACAAATTCTGGATGCTGAAGCGCAGATCTGTTGTTCTTTAGAAAGCACTGTGAGGGATACTGGGCAAAAGGTAACCTGTAACCACGCCTAATCATGTCAAGCACGAAATCTGAAGCATCTAATGTTTCAACCCAGAAGTTAAGCAAGGACTTCAAGCGACGTTTGACGCCATTGCTACTGCCTTTAACACTGAATTCGTCGCTACAGGAAGACAATAAATCTAAAAAATCACACTCAACTTGCTGGGCATCAGCATTATCAGTGGTCAACAAACCGCCCTCTAGTCAATCACGACGAGCGCTACTCTTTGAAGTGTCCGCAGGTTTGGTGCATGTCAAGCTCAAATGAACAAGACCTCCACACTGAAAAAAGGGGAACACACAATTGCATGAAAATAAAAATCCACAGCATAAAAATAAAAGAACAGTGGAGTAGCGTGTAGCGTTAGCAGACCCGAAGGAAGATTACTAACTGACAACAGCTCTGCGACACGCAATTAACGCGTATTGCGTAAGTGAAACACCTAATTGTCTAACACAATAAGACTGCCAAATACAGAACGTGCAGAAAACAAATATCTGCTAATCTACGTACCGCAAGTATTTTGATATTCTGCACTAACCTTGTTTATAGAACGACATACAGCAAAACGGCAATTCATGGAGAATATTTGATTATGGCCTGAGTGTAACGCCATAATCGACGAAGTAAAAACAAAGCCAGTATAACGAGAAAGAGTAAGCTACTTATCTGAAAACAAAGCCCCAAACGACGAGCTGGTCTAGCTTCCGAACGAGAAGCCAAATCCTTAGACGAGGATCTCGACGAAGAAGCCGCGCGGAGTACAGAAGAGGAATCACTTTTTTTTTTTTTTTTAAACAATTTTATTTACAAGACGATCACTTACACTACTTACAGTATTAATTACACTTACATTGTACTTGCTACTTACACTACTGATACTTATACTTACACTAATTATGCATACACTACATTACGATACATGTATTACAATACTATTAACATTAATTTAATTTACGGTTGGCGTGTTTACAAAGTTCTTTTCAATTAAAAGACAATCACAAGTAAACATACAGGTCTCAAAAATGCTGCATTTCTTTGGATATTTACTTTTGATATAGCTTAAACAAATATTTATGCAATTAAGTATAAGTCTAACCTAAAACAACAGCAGCATGAAAAATTAAAGTAAAAAAGCCCACGTGCGATAAAATTTCGGAAGTTCTTTTTTTGCGGTCAATTTGTAATTTTCGCTGATGGGCTGTTACGAGAATGTGAACGAATAGAAAAAGAAGGTGGTTGTTTCAACCGCAGCGTGTTGGTGTAACATGTAAAGCAAAGAAAGTGAAGCATAATAAACTTAAAGACTACAACAACTACATAGTGCTTATGTAATAACATGGACAAAAAGGAAATTTGGATACTTAGCTCGATGAGATAGAGTCACTAACCCGGCACAGTTTTCCAGGCTTCTTGTCGACTTTGAATGTCTTCAATAAGATAACAAAATTAAGTAGAAGCTACTTGATATTCAACTGGAATATTCGAGATGTTAAAAACATTGTTATCAATAAAGAGAGATCTGTTGACTACCTTCGCGACGCGACCAGCTTGTTTAGAGGAACCACTTCCTTTCTCGTCAGAACCGTCCGTGACGGACAAGTCGACGCTTCTCTTTATTGATTTTTCTCCCGGTTCTCCTCTCGGCCCTGTAAATTCTCTTCTCGTCGTCGAAGTCAGAGGTGAGTTCGTCGGACAAATATTCGTTAACGGTCGCCCATCCAAATTCGCTATTCTCAGCTGACTTAATGGCTTTAACACGCTTGGAAACTAATTCAGTACCTGACTCCAGAGCAACTTTAACTTTCTCCTACAATTTCTACTTGAGAGCGTCGGATCCTTCGTCTATTTTATCCACCACCTGGAGGGAATGATCCAACTGCTGCTGGTTTCCTTCCCTTTTGCAGGTATATTGTTCGCGCCGAGCTCTATTGACTGCTTGTTCAACGGAAGAGCTGTTCTCCTCGGAAATCACTAAGCCAAGATTCAATATGTTACCTTAGTGAGGTTATCGGTCAAAGAATCCATCGATTCAGAAACGGCAGACTGTATAGCAGCACCAACAGAAGGATCTAAAACTCCATCGTTCCGACTAGAACGTGCCCTAGCTTCCTCAGAGTCGCTCATGCTAAAGAACAGTGGAGTAGCGTGTAGCGTTAGCAGACCCGAAGGAAGATCACGAACTGACAACATGCAGCTATATATACGACACGCAATTAACGCGTACTGCGTAACTGAAACACCTGATTGTATAGCGCACTAAGAATACCAAATACAGAACGTGCAAAAAACAAATATCTGCTAAACTACGTACCGCAGATATTTTGATATTATCTGACGAGAACAAGTACCTTGACCGTGTTTTTTCCAAGAACTATAACGAATACTCCGTCCGACGAAACACTCACCGACCTTAACTACTACTACCGAAGCTAAAGACAACACAACTCCTACGACTACAGCAACTATACCGCCCATAAAGGGCATATCTGAGAACATCTCGCGCATCCTACAACCATTCAATATCTGCGTCGCTCACAAACCCATTACAACACTACGTCAGTTACTGACTAACGTCAAAGACCAATATCCATATTCTCTAGACTCTTAACGATAAATTTCCATTGGTACTGATGAGGAGAATCCATATTGTAATCAGAGTGTCTTGAGTTGGCAATCTTTTTGTTATTCTCATGTTCTTAATGAATGATTCAGCAATATTACTGGAGGGAGAACTTACATGCTGACTACCCTTGGGGCTGATAGGGTTAATTAAGCAGAGAGAACCAAATTAGTCTATTGTATCACATGTAAGTCATGCCGTACTGTGTTCCCTATTTACCAGTACATGTGTACAAAACATGATCCAAAATTAACACAAACATCACTTATTTCAAAGCCAAGAGTAGTATTCCACATTAGAGTAATATTTGAATTAAGTATTGGCAATTGTAGAGTTCTGAGAACTGTATTTGATAATTAAAAAACAAACTCACAGTCTGATTAAATTGGTATTCATACATACAAAGTAATAGCCAGCTCACCTGATTGTAACATAAAGAAAACCCAGGACAGATCAGACAGGCAAAAAATGGGTAGAACAGGATGCCGTAGACAAGAACAGTGA